GTAGAAGTTCAGTGAACTTTGTAGACGTTCTACGAAGTTTGTAGAAGTTCTGCCCATTTTGTAGAACTTCAGCGAACTGTAGTAAAAGTTTATTGAACTTTGTACAACAATTACAAACTTTGTTGACGTTCATCGAACTTTGTAGAAGTTCTGCGAACTTTGTAGAAGTTCTGCGAACTTTGTAGAAGTTCTGCGAACTTTGTAGAAGTTCTGCGAACTTTGTAGAAGTACTGCAAACTTTGTAGAAGTTATGCAAACTTTGTAGAAGTTATGCAAACTTTGTAGAAGTTCTGCGAACTTTGTAGAAATTCTGCGAACTTTGTAGAAGTTCTGCGAACTTTGTAGAAGTTCTGCGAACTTTGTAGAAGTTCTACGAACTTTGCAGAAGTTCTGCGAACTTTGCAGAAGTTCTGCGAACTTTGTAGAAGTTCTGCGAACTTTGTAGAAGTTCTGCGAACTTTGTAGAAGTTCTGCGAACTTTGTAGAAGTTCTGCGAACTTTGTAGAAGTTTTACGAACTTTGTAGAAGTTCTGCGAACTTTGTAGAAGTTCTGCGAACTTTGTAGAAGTTCTGCGATTTTTGTAGAAGTTCTGTGAACTTTGTAGAAGTTCTGCAAACTTTGTAGAAGTTCTGCGAACTTTGTAGAAGTTCTGCGAACTTTGTAGAAGTTCTGCGAACTTTGTAGAAGTTCTGCGAACTTTGTAGAAGTTCTGCGATTTTTGTAGAAGTTCTGTGAACTTTGTAGAAGTTCTGCAAACTTTGTAGAAGTTCTGCGAACTTTGTAGAAGTTCTGCGAACTTTGTAGAAGTTCAGCGAACTTTGTCGAAGTTCAGCGAACTCTGTAGACGTTCTGCGAACTTTGTAGAAGTTCTGCCCATTTTGTAGAACTTCAGCGAACTGTAGTAAAAGTTCATTGAACTTTGTACAACAATTACAAACTTCGTTGACGTTCAGCGAACTTTATAGAAGTTCAGTGATCTTTGTAGAAGTTAAAGTTCAATGGACTTTGTAGAAGTTCAACCAATTTTGTTATACTTAAGCGAACTCTGTTAAAGTTCAGCGAACTTTGTAGAAGTTCTGCGAACTTTGTTAAAGTTCTGCGAACTTTGTTAAAGTTCAGCGAGCTTTGCTAAAGTTCAGCGAACTTTGCTAAAGTTCAGTGAACTTTGCTAAAGTTCAGGGAACATTGTTAAAGTTCAGCACATTTTGTAGAAATTCAACAAACTTTTGTAAAATTTTAGTGTACTTTGTTGACGTTCAGCACATTTTGTAGAAGTTCAGCGAATTTTGTAGAAGTTCAGCGAACTTTGTTGAAAAAGTACGAACTTTAGATAAAGTTAGTAAGTATTGTAGAAAATCGGAAGCAGCTGATGTTCAGGAAGTATTTATTTTTTGGAACATCATAGAACTTCAGAAATCTATGAAACGAGCTTCATAGTAGTTTTTATTATTATGTAGCCCTTCGAAGAACTTCAAAAATCTTCATAGTGAAGTGTTGTGTGGGGAATTTTGTAAAAGTTCATTAAATTTCCTAGAAGTTCGTCAAACTTTGAAATTGTTCCTTTTTTTTAGATCTAATTTCAAAAAAGCTTACTGAACTTGCTGGATGTTTTTGGGAACTCAATTTAATGTCAGAGATCTACCCAGATGTTCAGGAATATTTGTAGAAAAGGTTGAGGGTCTTTCGTAAGTTCTGAGAAGTTCATAGTTGCTCTGAAATTGTTTTAGAATTAAGATAGCTAGGGGAAAAAATGAAAGTTGAATGATGTTCAGGGAACTTCGAAAAACTTGAGGAAATTTTCTCGAAACTACGGAAATTTTGAAGAACATTTCAATAAGCTATAAAAAAGTTGAAGAAGATCAGAAAACTTGAAAAAGATTCAGTTCACTTCCTAGAAATTTGGGAAACTTTGTATGAGATGTAAGTTCAGGGAACTTCCCACAAGTTCAGGGGACTTAATAGAAGTTAAAGGGAACTTCCAATAAGCTCAAGATGGTTTGGAAAGACATTCAGGGAGCTTAGATGGAGTTCAAAAAACTTTGTGGAAATTCAGGGAACCTCGATAACAAAACAATGCTGTCCTCTAGTTACTATTCAACACTTCAAGTTGACCAAGTATTTTTCTGTGGATTTTCAATTGTTCTCAAAAAATCAAATGTCCTATCACAGATCACGCTACAAGATGGCAGGCTGAACATAATTCAAAAGATCTCCAGCTGACCAAAGACTTCAGTAAAGTCTTGCTTCAGATTTCAGATTGATCTGAAGATTTGGAAATGGGAAATACATTTAAATGTATGCCCATTCAAACTGAAAACCGATGTGAAGTTTTGGCTGACAGAATTTCTTCTCTTACTTCGCACGGGCAATAATCTCCCAAGATTGATGGTTGCTCAGATATTATCTTGTGAATTATCCAAAAAATCTCCAGCTGAAGAAAAAAATCATTTAAGTTCTCCAGTTAATTGATCAAGACTTCAGGTTGATCAAGATGCAGTTCTGAAGATCTTCTACTGTTCAACAAAATCTATGACCAAATTTCAAAAGACAAAAATTCAAGGGACAAAAGCTTGTTGTCCTTAGAGGGTCAAAAAGTCGAATGGACAAAAGGTCGAAATGAACAAAACATCGAATGGACAAAATCTAAAAAAGGACAAAAAGTCGAACGACAAAAGGTGAAATGGACAAAGGGTCGAAGGGACAAAAAGTCGAATGGACAAAATGCTATATTAAATTTAGTGGGACAAATGGTCAAAGTAAACTTGAAGGGACAAAAGATCGAAGGAACAAAAAGGTCGAATTGAACTTAGCGGGACAAGAGCTTGAAATGAACAAAAAGTAGAATAAACAGAAGGTTGAAATAGACAAAAGGTCGAATGGGCAAATGGTTGAAGTGGACAAAAGGCAGAAATGGATAATAGGTTGAGTTAGAGAGGGTCTAGTATAAGAGAGGAGCGGACTGGCTGGTTTTGAGCCATACGAACTGTCAAAACCAGAGCCAATCGAGCAGCCTATCTTGATGGTATTGCCAGTGATGCTAGGCAGTTTATATTAAATCCACTGCTCTCTTATCCTAGATCTCTGAATACTAAAGGTCGACAAGGACAAAAAGTTCAACTGGATAAAAGTTCAAAAAACCAACATTAAACAAATATATTGTTAAATATATAAATATTGTTTATTAAATTTTCGTTGAGAGTAAAGAACTTTAAAGAAATGTTCTCAAATAACTACTCATGATTAATGAAGGAATATATCCTAGAGAAAGGCAGTTATGCGTCTCTTAAATTACAGTAAATACATTTTATGTTTATTTTCCAAAGACCTGCTAATGATTTAACGAAGGAATCATATTTGAGAGTAGGCCACTTGACCAGTTTATCCATTTCGAACTTGTATCCTTATCGACCACCTTGTATCATTGTTGAACTTTTTTACATTCGACCTTTTGTCTATTCGGCCTTTTGTTGATTCGACATTTTGTTCATTTCGACCTTTTGTCTCTTCGACCTTTTATCCATTCGACTTTTTTACCCTCTAAGTTCAATTCGACCTTTTGTCCTACAATTGTTCAAAAATTGAAATGGCATCTCCAGATATTCTCTCTTAGATGACTAGTTGGTCTAGAAGTATTTAAAAGATCTCCAGCTGTTCGACGATTTCAATTAAGTGTTTTTTTCAAGACTTCAGGTTGATCAAGTGGTATTGTGATAAAAGGCTTTTGATTACATTTTTCATAATTAACATTTGAAAAAAATGAGCCTTAAATAGGTAGTACAAATCTTTATTTTTTAAACACAAATTTTCACTTGTCTGATTATACAGTGTTATTATATCGAACAGCACTGTTAGCCTTTGGAAGCCTAATGGAAATGTCTTCAAAATGTCTGCGGGAGAAAAATGTCTTCAAATCTGACATCGCTGGGTAGAAGGTCGTCCCAAATCTGCTCAAAAATATCATTAATTGGTTTGCTTACATGCTAATTCCTTTGTAAATTTTCGATCGAAAATTGATTAGCTTGATTCGCTTTCAACCACAAACTGGAACGGTGGATTTGCTATATTATAGCATTGCAATCAAAATTCAAAAGATTCTACGTATCCTCCATCGGATATGTTCACGGAATTCTACAAATCAAAGCAAATCAGAATATGCACTGTTGCCGTTGCTTTCATACAGATTTACAAATTTGTTTTTATTTTACTATCAAATTTCGATACGTGGGATGAAACTGTTTGAAACGCCTCGCAAGGCACATGTTTGAACTGATTTAAAAGCGAATTTCCTCGGGCGATGAATGTATCCGATGATAAATAAACCTTTTTGCTTTGGGTTGGCGAAAACACGCATAACTCTTCCGAACTGAAATACCCCTCCACCGGACCCGAGTGAGCACACATGCGGAGAGGAAAAGACATATCCGTAACGTCCGTGGCAATAATGGTGGATGGCGCCTTCCAACTGGCCCGGATGCAGACTCGGGAGTTGGTTCGATTTCCGGTGTTTGTGTGGAAACTTTCCACGAGGCGGCAAAGCAGCTGAGTCAAGATTAGAATCCCATAAAATTATGAAACAACTTCTTCCTCTGCCGTTGCTTTGCTTCAAGAGTTTTTTTTTAAATAAACAAGTGCTAAAAGAAATTCTTATTCAAGCTGCGGCCGAAACGCTATTTTGATATTCATTGCCAATTTTCCGGTGCTCCTCGAAGGAAGACAAGCGAAAAAAGTGGCTCAATCTCCCCCACTTTTCAATTGTTGGGCAGCAATCGTACGCTGCTCTACCGACTCGTCGTCGTCGTCGTCGTCGTCCCAGAGCAAAAAACTTTTACGTAACTTAAGAAAGCTACACTTTTCTAATCGCAGCTCTTCTCAAACAAAAAACTGGATGAATCATCCTAGCCCATCAGGAAAGCTATTTTATGTCACGGAAAAGCCCACAAAAAAAAGAAAACTGAAAACTTTTGAATGTAAATAAGCGCCAAGAAGCGCCGCCACTTACCTCCCGGATGTCGATCTTTCCGTCTTGATTATCGTCGTATGCCTCCATGAAGCAGGATTTCAGCTCGACCAGCATTTCGTCTGTCAGTGACTGGGGTAACGATGGTTGAAAAAAAAAGAAAAAGGAACGCTGTTAGTTGGAATGGTATCATCGTTTTTAAGGGGGAGTCGTTTGCTAGTTTGAAAAGGTTATTAAAAAAGGACTGTGGATATTTGAGAAGCGAAATTATGATTGCAACATAAACGGTGCAGGGGGGTAACGATATTTCAATGGATTGCACAAATCATCTAGGATGGCTAAAACAACTTAGGACTAAAGTAGTAAACAGAAACAACTTAAAAATAACTAAAGTGCTCGACTATTTAAAGCTATTGAATGCACAGGCAAATCGTGAAAATCAATGATCTAGAACCATTTCTGGTAAGGGCCGAAAATCAACAAACGGCACTTCAAATCACGTTAAAATAAGTATCGCTGAAAAACCCACCGAACGAAATCTTCGGTGCCCCAGTTTCATTTAAAACTGTTTCATCGGGGGGTCATTTTTCCATACTTTTTTGAGGTTAAATCTTTTTAAAAATTGAGTTTTGGACATGATTTACACTAAACAATTCGAAAAAATAAAAATTTCTATAACATTTTGTTACTAGCCTCACATAAGGGGTGAACCTAAGCAAAAATAAAGCCACTTTTGTCCCGACCAAGTCTGTCATGGTGATTACTCATTGTTACTCCACGAGTAATCAGCTCCAAAATTCAATATATACAGAGTGTTCGGTTTCTTATTGCAAATATGTTAAGGAGTGATAGATGATCATATTTGATGAACAAAATTTCTACGCATATTATCAAATCTCAAAGATTACTAAGTTATTGAACTTTTCTGTTTTGGTTTATGCTTGCCATATATTGGCCCTAACTAAAAAAAATATGCTACTTAGCAAAACATTGTTGTCTTCATTAGACAGCTTAGGAAATTTCCTACTTAAAAGTTTACTTCAATTTAGCTGCATTAGGTTACATTTTAGAGATAAATATGTCTAAAATTGGTGTTTTTTACGTGTTTCCCTGATTATTTAAAAAGATACGTAATAACGTTTGCATTGAAAAATGGACTTTTTTTTCGGATGGTGATAAAAAAAAAACGCTAAGACAGATAATTTCTTTTGATAAATTTCCCATGGAAGGTAATTATTTAAGCTTACTTGCAAAAAATTCTACGCCCTTGCGAGCGGCCTTCCGAAACATTCGCCATGGCGGACGAAAACATGCGTGTAGGCATCTTTTTGAGTTCTTTCTTCGTTTTATTTATCAATTCCTCCTCAGTTTTCGCGACAAAATTGTTGGAGTAGATCTTACGCTTCAGGTTGGCCCAGAAATTCTCGATGGGACGCAGCTGGGGGACGTTGGCCGGGTTCGCCGACTTGGGTATTACATCGATATTCAGCCGCTCCATCTCCTCCAACGATCGCTTCGAGTAGTGGGCCGACGCCAGATCCGGCCAGAACACCGCGTCTTCACCCTTATGGTATTTCTTGATGAACGACGCAACTTCCGGCAGGCATTTCGTACTATAATTTTCCCCGTTCACGGCCAGTCCGGAGCGAAAGAAGAGCGGCTTTGACATCCCCTTCTCGCTAATTGTCAGCCACAGCCGCACGTTCTTGGGGAACTTGGTGTGTGAAATGAACTTCACCTCGGAGCTCACTTCGTTCGTGGGGGAAGTAAAATACGAAGTGCCCTGCCAGCAGGGATGGAAAATCATTTACATTCATTTCGTGCATTTATTTACATTCTTTTGCCTCTAACTTTTTTCATCAACATAATTCCATAAAATAGTGTTTGAAGGTTTTGTAGGCTTTGATATTAGCTACATCTTTTGTAAACAACTCAAATTTGTATCTCTTATGCATGATGAATCAGAGCGATAAGAACCAACCATTGTTTTTCAGTGAATGTCACTGAAAAACAATAACATGTTCTGCCAGCTCTATTTCGTCATTCATAAGAGATACAGATTTTAATTATTGACAAAAGTTGTAGTTCATATCAAAAGCTACAAAAGTTTTAAACATCACTTTACGGTATTCCGTTGATGAGAAAAGTTACTGGCAAATGAATGTTAATGAATGCACGAAATGAATGTTAATGATTTTCCATCCCTGCCTGCCAGTCGTTGCCATCCAGGGTAAGATAGGTCTCGTCGTCCATCACCACCGCCACGTCGCGATTCGCCGGGAAAAACGAGTTGATCATGTTATTCAGCCGCTGCCGCTGCGTCATTGCCGGCAGCTCCGAAACCAGTGGACGTGACTTCCGCTTCCTGACATGTATGTTCATGTTCGCCAGGTATGTTTTCACTGTTTGGCCGGTTGCACCGACCTCCCGGCCAAGCGCACGCAGCGATGTAGCCACTTTTCCGTCAGTCTTCCTCTTCTACATCCTTTGGAGCTTCTTGTCGCTCAGGGTCGTCGGCCGTCCAGAACCGAGATTTCTTTCGATTATCTGATTGTTGTCTAATAGTGCCAAGATGTTGTAGATTCCGGAACGGGCGTATCCGGCGTCTACAAAGTGTCGCACGATGTCCGTTTTCGACGCGGTGGGGTGCCGTTCTTTGAACGCGCACACTTCTGAACGGAGTTGCTTCACTGTTTTTGCCATCACGGTTAGAGTTCAACTGATAGAGCTGTCAAATTTTGTTTGCTGACTCATGGGTTACTATGCTTGATGCTGCATAGGTAGTTTCGTCAGTGCGGATGAAGGTAAACCAATGAAAAATCGACATTTTTTGTAATTTTTTTTTAAATGCGAACGTTAAAGTGATTTTTTTTTCCTCTTAAAGCGTTCTACATTTATCTCTTTGACACCAACTTTCTATCTCGTTAAGCTTTGTTACAATTTTGTTCTAAACACACCATATTAGCATAGAGGCAACTCTAAGACCAGAAGGTCCTGAAGAAACGTGATCAACTTTTTGCCTCAGCTCTGATACTCTCTTCGGTCCCAAGCTAATCGATGCACCCCTCAAAACATAGGAAAATCCAATCTATGATGAATCTAAACAAACATAGTGTAGTAGTAAAATTTCGACTGGAATGGGGGACGCTTATAGATGTACTTGGGACCAATAGGCTAGTCAAGTAGTGAGCCAATTAAAAATCGTTAGTTTCCACCGGTTGATATTAGGTCGTTAATTAACGGTTGTATAAACACGAATTCAACGCGACCGTGTGTTACTGTTGCCGTCTGTAGGCAGTGCTCACAGCACACTTGATCGCGATCGCAATAGAAATGAACAACAATGCTGCTGGCAATTCAAGCATTTGATCCTTAGGGTGCGGCCAGGGTAGATGCGATTCACGACGCGACGCGACCAATTCAAAAGAATCTTATTATTTATTATTATTCCTCGCGTCGCGTCGCGAATCGCGTCTACACTGGCCGCGGCCTTAGTAACATTTACGTCGACTTTCTCTTTGTATTCCTTCGGCCATGTAAAGACATTCGCAGGTACACTGGAGTCGCTTTTTACGCGGGGGATACGTGCCACGTAAAAAAAAACCGCGTGAAAAAAAACTACCGAGATTTTGATTTTTCATATGCTTAAATATTTTTTATAAACCGGATTTTGATGCCATTCGTTATTATAGCATGCTATGGTCCATATAGATATATTTTAAAAATTTCTGTATTTACACCAAAAATTGTGATTTTTTTAAAAGTATGCCATTCGATTACCTATAATTTGAAACGGATAATGTGATTGGAATCAAGTCGACAGGTCGTATCGTTGTCGAGAAATCGTTAAAAACGTACCGCGTAAATTGCGACTCAGCGGCACTAACCGTGTAAAAAAAAACCGTGTAAAAAAACCGTGTAAAAAAACCGCTTAAAAAGCAACTCCAGTGTATTTTCTGCACACAGAACGATAAAAGAAGCTTTTATCTAGCATATAATACGACAAACAGAACAATAAACGGTTATGTGCTGAAGTTATTAACGAAAGAGAAAGTCGACGAAGAGAATAGATCAATGTTACTTAGGACCTAATGCAATGTTCGGCTTGAATTCAATTTAGTGTATGATGAAAATTGAAAACGATTGGGATTTTTCGCGATATCGATGTTGATCAGTTCAAGCTGAACATTGCATTAGATCCTAAGTATCATTGATCGATTCTCTTCGTCAACTTTCTCTTTTATTAATCACTTGAGCACACAACCGTTTCTTGTTGCGTTTGTCGTATTAGATGCTAGATATAAGCTTCTTTTATCGATATGTGCGCTGAAAATACCTGGGAATGTCTTAAGATGGCCGTATGAGAAAGTCGACGAAGAGAATTTGTCAATGTTACTTAGGACTGATTTGGTTGTTCGACTGGTTTTATGGAGATTTCGTTTTTATGGCTTTCTCAGTCTAGGGTAATTCAAACAGTTAGTTTTGCATTGCCCGACGTTTCGGCCGTTTATTGTGGCCTTTTTCAAGGGTAAAACGGTAGACTGTTTTACCCTTGAAAAAGGCCACAATAAACGGCCGAAACGTCGGGCAATGCAAAACTAACTGTTTGAATTACCCTAGACTGAGAAAGCCATAAAAACGAAAAGTTACTTAGGACCTAATGCAATGTTCAGCTTGAGTTCATTGAAATAATATAGGATAGATAGGTGTTTTCAGATCTGAACGGCTCTCTGAAGATGTCTTGATTGCTACCACGCCACAGCGGGCGACAAAAAATATGTTCTCGGTGATAACTTTGGAGCTCCGCTTGGCGGAAATTCTTGCACTATCACTATGTCTGCATAGCATCGACCGAAGAGAAAGAGAATTCGACAGTAAGCATGCATAAGGGCGTATAGGGTTTTTGATCTAATTTCCGTCGTACTAAGCAAAACCCGCACTTTACCGCTCTTTACTGAACGAGTTTAAACAAAAAACAAAATATTTCTGTCAAAGATGACTTCTTAATTTATTCACCTTTCCAAACGTACCGTTGGATTTGATAAAGAGTCACAAATTGTTGAGATATTGTTTAAAATTTAATACTGCTTCTTGATTCTAAATTCGTTCTACGAGTTTCAATTCCGTCCTAA